CTTTAAATAGGGAAAAGTAATTCTAATCAGAATAGGAAACTAACACCCGAAGCCCTAATCATAATAACCACGAATTGGGCCTTAAATAAATGAATGTTCAGCCCAAAATAATATAAAAAACGTGAAAATCACTAAAAGTATCCTAAAGTAACATGAAATATCAGTTTGTTACAAATTGTGACAGAATTGCGAGATTGACGCAAACTGTGTAATTTAGCATAAATAACCTCAATTAAGCTTCTCTTGAACCTGAATGTTGTTTATCATGCCTTGATAAATCATCCAAGCTTCGATTTGCTTGTTGTATGTTGTTTTCAACCCAGATCTGCTCAATAAGGCCATTTAAAGCTTCACGCATCTTCTTAGCTCTAGCTCGTGTGACTGGACCTCCTTGGGTGTGTAATGGATCACATGACGTGGTAGATATGCTGTCGTCTTGATTCCCATCACTCCAGGAAAGCTAAATCACATTTATAAAAGGATCTTGACCCATTGTTTATGTCGCAACAAGAACCAAAAGTAAAAACCTTGACCCGTTGTCTATGACGCAACAAGAACCAGAGGTATAAAGTTGGTTGACGCCACACCCTCGAGCGATTAAGAACGAGAATGATAAGTCAGGTTAGAACGCCACAAGAATAATCTTGAGAAGTTCTGTAAAGTTCTGAAACGAACCAAAGAGAAAAGTCTCTCAAAATCTCAGATTCAATAGCCTCCCCTCAATTAGGGTTACAAGCCCCTTTAAATAGGGAAAAATAATTCTAATCAGAATAGGAAACTAACACCCTAAGCCCTAATCATAATAACCGCGAATTGGGCCTTAAATAAATGAATGTTCACCCCAAAATAATATAAAAAATGTGAAAATCACTAAAAGTAACCTAAACTAACATGAAATTTCAGTTTATTACAAATTGCGACAGAACGCAAACTGTGTAATTTAGCATGAATGACCTCAATTAAGCTTCTCTTGAACCTGAATGACGTTTATCATGCCTTGATAATCATCCAAGCTTCGATTTACTTCTTGCGTGTTATTATCAACCCAGATCTGCTCAATAAGGCCATTTAAAGTTTCTCACATCTTCCTAGCTCTAGCTTGCGTGACTGGACCTCTTGGGTGTGTAATGGATCACATGGCGTAGTAGATATGCTGTCGTCTTGATTCCCATCATCTAAAGTTTTCCTAACTCAAAAATGTCCCATTAAGCCTCCCACATGAGATTCCCTCACTAACAATTCTCTTAAGGAACAGTTAGGCACACATAATCGATTTTCTCTAAACAAGTACCCTTCATGCATATAAAACTTATCAAAAGCAATCTTCTCACATGCATTAAACACATTAGCAAAATTTGGATCATTAGCATATAATTCTTTAATGTGCTCAAAACCTAATAACTTTGCACTTAGGGTAGAGATAAGTGTGTACCTCCTACCATGATGAGAACCCCAAAGAGAACAATGAGACCCACAGCACGACAAGGGATTTCTAAACTCCAGGAAAGCTAAATCAGGTTTATAATAGGACCTTGACCCGTTGTTTATATTGCAACAAGAACCAAAGGTAAAGACCTTGACCTGATGTCTATGACGCAACAAGAACCAGAGGTATAAAGTTGATTGACGCCACACCCTCGAACGATTAAGAACGAGAATGATAAGTCAGGTTAGAACGCCACAAGAATAATCTTGATAAGTTCTGTAAAGTTCTGAAACGAACCAAAGAGAAAAGTCTCTCAAAAACTCAGATTCAATAGCTTTCTCCCTATTAGGGTTACAAGCCTTTTAAATAGAGAACAAATCCTAATCAGAATAGGAAACTAACACCCTAAGTCCTAAACCTAATAACCACGAATTGGGCTTCAAGCAAATGTTCAGCCCAAAAATAATACCAAAAACGTGAAAATCACTAAAAATAACCTAAAATAACATGAAATATCTGTTTGCTACAAATTGCGGTAGAATTGTGCGATTTTGACGCAAACTGCGTAATTTCGTGCAAATGACCTCAACTAAGCTTATCTTGAACCTGAATGATGTTTACCATACCTTGATAATCATCCAAGCTTCGATTTGCTTGTTGTACGTTGTTTTCAACCCAGATCTCTCAATAAGGCCATTTAAAGCTTCACGCATCTTCTTAGCTCTAGCTCGTGTGACTGGACCTCCTTGGGTGTGTAATGGATCACATGACGTAGTAGATATGCTGTCGTCTTGATTCCCATCATCTAACATGTCATCTAATCTAGGAATAGGGTGACGATACTTTACAGTGATCTTGTTGACTGCGCGACAATCAACGCACATACGCCAAGTCCCATCCTTCTTAGGCACAAGTAGCACTGGAACTGCACATGGACTCATGCTTTCTCTCACATGTCCCTTTTTCATGAGTTCTTTGATCTGCCTTTGAAGTTTTTTCGTCTCATTGGGATTGCTTCGATATGCTGGTCGGTTTGGAATTGTTGCACTAGGAATGAAGTCAATTTGATGCTCGATTCCTCTTATTGGTGGTAAACCATTAGGAACGTCATTGGAAACACATCCTTGAAGTCCTGCAAAAGAGATTTTAACAACACTAGGCAAAGAATCATTAAGTTCGTTAGTGTTGACTTATAGGATGCACAAACATAGGCTGGTTTGCAAAAAATGCAGCCTTGACATCACTTTCTTTTGCATAAACACTCACTGATTTTCTCTCTTTGTTTTCAACACTCTCAATCTTTTCTCTCTTTTTGGACTCTTTTTCTGCTGTTTACTCTTTGTTTTTCGTACCCTCAAGCTCACTCTCATTTCTCA